GCCAGATAGAAATCATTAATAAACAACCAGCATCACAAAAAATAAAAATAAAAATAAAAATAAAAAAACAAAAAATTGGATGATTCATACCTAATTAAATAATTTATATATAGATGTCTACTCTGAAGTCTAATATAAAGGTTCTGAGTCAAGGTTAGATTTTGTAAAGTGAATCAGTTAAAAGAGCACATAACTTCAGTTTAAGTTCAGCTAAGAAAAAACCAACAAATTCAAATCAGTTTTAGCGAAGAACACCGAGCTGATTGTTTCGGAGCTAATAACATCAGAATTTGAAAATCTACAAAAATCCATACCTGAATGTAGACATATTATTATGATTCCCTTGATTGATCATAGTTATGTCTTCAAAATTAGCTTCAATCAGGAAGCCAACATTGTCATTGATAATGTGTGGAGAGATTGAAACCTCAAAGATCAATAAGAGTGAGCCACCAAACTTATTTTCAAAGTAACACAAATTCCTATGACCACTAATAATAGAGTGATGTGTAAGTTATTTTGGACCAAACAAGTTTTGATCATATAATATAATCTTATGCAAAAAATTGAATTGGTAACTCAAATACTTCATGCTTGAAGTGAAAGGGTTGACTACATTTTCCTTACAATGAATTAGTATATCTCCATTAAAGTAGTATTAAGTAGATGAAAAATGATTGGAAACTCAAATTTGAGTTTGTTCGAAAGTCCGAATTTGTGCTTGCCGGTTGACCGCCCGGACGACCGGTGCAACACTTGTCTACTGCGGTTGTCACCCTTGTCGATCATGGCTGTCACCTTTTGTCGGATGATCGGCCAGACGACCAGTCGGATGACTTGCCGAACAACTAGCAAGCTAAAATTCGGGCAATTTTAGATGACCAGCTAGATAACTGGCCAGATGACCGGCCGAACCGCGCAAGCCAAAATTCAAGCAATTTTGGGCAAACTCAGATTCAAGTTACCAATTAGTGTTGTAAATAGAAGGAGAAAAAATATCTAGAAGCCTTAGAAGTTTAAACATTGACATGTTTTTAGTTAATGCAGTGACAATCATTAATATGAATTACTATTAAGGGAATTACAAAAAAATTCCTAGAGTTTGAGCCTTATAACAAAATAATTTCTCAGTTTTTAGTTTTGTCAATTTAAATCTTAAACTTTTGATTGGTTTTTGATATAAACTATGTGCTTATCTCCGTTAAGTAAAATCAATGGAAAAATAAGTATTTTAGTTATTAAAATCAATAAAAATGATATTTTAGATATTTTATATATACCTACATTGAGTTTAATGATTAAAGTACTATTTATTTATTTATTTATTTTTGTTGGTTTTACTTAGTGAAAATAGGTGAATGATTTAAATTGAAAATAAATTAAAAGATCAGGGTTTAAATTGACAAAATTAAAAACTCAAGATTTATTTTGTTACAAGACTCAAACATTGGGTTTTTGTGTGTGTGTAATTGTCCCTTCTTCTTCTTCTTCTTCTTATTATTATTATTCTTATTTGTTTCAAGTAAAAGTTTAATAATAAATTTTGAACATCTTAATTTAAATCTACAAGTATGTGCTTGAAATAGAAAAATATTTAAGCTGAAACCTCTTAAAAAATGGCACAATCTTAAAAATAACATCACCACCTTAATTTGAGAGTTACTTTTTTGAGTAGTGCTATAAAAATGAAAATAAAACTCATACAGAATTTTGACCCAGAATGATGTGCAGTCTTGGGTCCTATCCTATCCCTTTAAAAACAAGGCCTGTCAATGCGACTTATATTTTTAAAATTGTCATTGTTATATTATTCTGGTATAAAATTCTGTATAGATTTTCTGCTTGTGAATCACTTTCCTAGTTTTTTTAACTCCAAAGAGATAGTAGATTTACCCCTATATGCAATATAGTCAACATCATAGAAAGAGAATAGAGAATATATTGCTCTGCCTTGCATCATTTCCCTCATGATTCTTACTTGGGTTCAAGTAGTGTCAGCAAAGTTTTTGAGAAGTGTCGGCAAACTATCTGATATTATAAATTTATATTTTTTATTATGACACGTTGAAGAAGTGTCAGAAACACATTTTAGGAATGTTTACAGAGTGTCGTGTCCAACATGATATTTATCATTGTGTATGCAGGTATATACTTGCTGCTATGATGGATTTATTCTATTGATGGATGTTGAAAAAAAAAATTATTTGACCTGGTATATTCCAGCAATCATGCTATATATTCTATTTCTCAATGACCAAATGATGCAAAGTCCTTGTATTTTAGCGAGGGTCTTGGAGTTCTCAATATTTGGGATGAGAGGGCAGGAAAATCTTCAGCCTCGTGGATTTTGCATGAAGAAAGAATCAACTCGATAGATTTTAACTCAGAAAACACTAATATCATGGCAAAAAGCTCCACAGATGGGACTGCTTGCATTTGGGATTTGAGAAATATTGATGCAGATCAGCCAAAATGTTTGAAGACAGTTAACCATAGAAGAGCTGTCCATTCTGCTTACTTTTCACCCTCTGGAAGCTATCTTGCAACATGGTATGCATCAGGTGTATTTTAATGTACCACAAATTTTTGCATTCTTTAGATTCCAATTGTTGGGTGAATGATATCGATTTTTAATTTATGAAACATCCTTAATTTTAATTATTGTTATGTTACTTTTATGTCATTAACTTTAAATAAATTAGTTATAAGGAATAATGTAGACATTTGTTGTGTATTTTGCAAATCTGAAACAGAGACCTTGAATGTTATGGTGCCCTTTTGTGTGGCAAATTTGGTCAAACATTTTAGAGTGGTGGGGATTGAGTTGGGTTATACTTGGCCTGGGTCTATGGAGAGTTTGTTTCAATGGTGGATGGGGTGGAAATTCAGAAAGAAAGAGAGGCAAGTTTGGAGAGCTTTACCTGTGGCTGTGGTGTGGTCTGTGTGGAAGTATAGGAATGAATGCATCTTTATCGGCACTCAACCCAACACTGAGGCTCTTAGTGAGATTATCAAAGTAAGGTTGTCCCTTTGGATTAAAGCTCAATGATATAGGATGTCTTTATTCTGTCAATGATATAATGCATAGCCTACAAACAAGTGAGCCAATGTATATGTTAGGTGAGGTTCTGTGATCAGAGGACTGTCTGAGGAGGAACAGCTGGGTTATGCCTGCTTTGGGTTGTTGTCATTTGATTAGCTGGGTGTTTATTGTATTCTTGTTTTGTGGTTGGTTGCTCACCAACTCCTGGTGTTGTGCTAGCTAGTGATTGAGTGGACATATTGGTGCTAACATAGCTGGAGTGAGTATGTTTCGTAATGATGCTTTCTGCACTTATCCTTTATCTTTGTTGATGTAATGATTTCTTTGTTCAACAATAAAGATTCTCTCTTTTGCTGATCAAAAAAAATAAAAATAAAAACCTTTAAATAAATTATTCATATATTTGACATATAACAAATTCATAAAAAAAAAAAAAAAAAAGAATAATGAGCCCCACTCATTTGAAAAAAAAGAATAATGCGCACGTGTATTTTTTTTTTTAAAAAAAAATTGATGTGTTAGACTCATATCTATGTTGTGTCACGTATCTCTGCTACTTAGCTGAACATGAAATATAAGAAAATCAACCATCCACAACTAATATAGTGGTAAGCAATGGCATACAGAGGAATTGAGAAGCCAAGTTGAGTCATGTAACAGCCAACAAATGAGAAGGAATATAAAAGAACTGGTTACAAAATGAATGCAGAAATGTGCCAAATAAAGGGAATAATTGCACATGCAAGAACACAAACAACATTTACTTGTTTCATAGTTCAAAAAATATGAACTTAAAATAAATTACATAATACCTTGAAAATGGAAAATGGTTGAATTGCAATCCCAAAAACCGGTGCCGAGTGAGGGCGGTACAAATAAATCCCATCTCCATCCTCATTTTCAGCATCAAAATCCCAAAATCCAACATTCCCACATTGGTTTCCCACAGCAATCAATTTCATATCCGTAGACGGAAAGAACCTCAATGCTAGTATTCAGCCTGGCACAACCCTCGCTATATTTTTGGGTTCCAACCTCATTGATTCCAAAAAAGTTGACACTTTCATTCACGTTAATCGTCGAATTGCAAGAACCCCCTTCAATTTCCTCCATCTATTGGGATATTTTCAAAACACCGGAGATTTTTCATTGAGTTGTTGGTCAGAAGCATATCCGCAATACGCATCTCTCATTCTAATAGGGCCAAATGACTCATATTTGATTAGAGGCGTGATAATTTTGTTTAAGGATACGCCTAGTTTAACCCTATTAGAATGAGGGTATAATTTTAAATGTATCCATAATGATGATTCTGTTTACGGATACGCCTCTGACCAAAAACTCACTTTTACAAAATCGAACCCCCTCTAATTTTTTTCTTGAACAATTCTATCCTTAAACAAAATTATCATAATGGATAAATTTAAAATTCATTTCATGGTCACCATCCATCCTTTTCTACTGTAGATATGCAACATTCAAAATCCAACATATCCCTGGTACAACATGACTGTAACTTGGGCAGGTTCGGTTGGACTTTCTACTTGTCCAAAATTTGTTTAAAGTGTACAAAGTATAGAGGAATTCCTCCACGTCCAACCTTGCCAAGTTAGTTTCCCAAACCTTAAAGCTCAAGTTTATCACAGAATTAGGATTAGGTATGAAGTGTTGAAATTTGACAAAAGAAAGTTATCTTGTTCTGAATCAATGCATTACACCTCATAAAAATAAAAAATAAAAATTACCTGTAAAATTTCAAACATGAAACGTAAGAAAAAAAATTAATTTGAATCATATGTATCAAACAGTAGAATTAATCACATTACAATGACTTAAATTCAACAGTGAGAAAATAAGCAATATTATATTAAATTCAACAATGACTTAAATTCATGTTTATTATATATTTTATATTTATTAATAACAGAATTTGGGTTGTTCAATTCACTATTCATACCTTAAATAAAATTTATATTGCTTAAACTTCTAAAAAATTTCAAGTTGGACACGAGATATTCAGTATGAATCTACCAATTTTTCTTTTTCAATTTTTTTTTCGTGATAATAGATCTAGGAATTTCAAAAATCATTACTCCCCTCCAGCACAATCACTCTAATTTCACTGCAAATTACTCCAAATTTATGGAGTTAACTAACTTTAGAGACACTAACAATAATAGTAAGCCTCACCTTAAGTGATGATATAAAACCCATAATGATTATAAGTAATAAATTTAAAAAAATAGAATAATTTAGCTAATGTGGTACATTGGAATGGCAATACACAGGGTCACCTCATTAATGTTTTTCAGTTAGAAATGAAATTGCCAAAGAAATAATCTAAACTGGTTCACATACAGTTTTTGCAGAAATGGCCGAGCAAGAAAAAGTTGGGAGGCAAAACCATAAATATATTTAAAACTTACCAAATGAAGTAGCATACATATAAACTAAATTGATTGTTCATCAACAAGTTAATTTTAAGTTAAAGTACAACCGTCGTGGTGGTTGAAAAAGAGAAGCTCAAGTTGTTGTCCATGTGTAAACCTGGCCTCCACTTGTGGCTCCTGCAAGCATCCCAATCTGGTAAGGGTGTGTATCAAAGCGGCATGGACTTCCAGACAAATTTGGGCTCTGTAAAGTCGCAACACGTACTCTCCTAGCCGCGGAGATAACATCAACTCCTCTTTTCATATTACCAATGAAGAGATATGAATCATCCCAACCCCATATTGCTCTGCTTTTTCAACCAAAAGAAGAAGCTATATTAGCAATCAATCCCATCTTATATAGATAGATACAGAGTTTTATATACAAATTTCTTGTGTTAAAATGAAGATCCAAAAGGTCGAGATTAATTTATCCTATTAAATCTTTTAATCACCAAAAGAACAACAAATCATGCACGAATATTGGTTATTTTCACACTAAATACTCTTAGAATTTGTATTTTGAAATTTTCACAAAAAGAAGGAAAAAGGGCTACAAAATCTATCCAACTCGACAGTTCAAGAATCATATGAATTGTAGTATTAATCGAATTGTGAATCATAAGATTCATTGTCAATTCTATTCCAAAATAGATTCACCTATAGATTCACATCCATCTATGCATGAATCATGAATCAAACCGTCGATTCTAACAACTACATGACAAAAGTGGGAACATGAACACATTAAAAACAAATAGGAGATAATATACATCTGCATGGGTAGGATGATGATTCATTTTCCATTTTATTTTTTCATTACAAACATGTAAGGCTAAATAGAACGGTTATGAACAACCAGCATAAAAAAAAATGTGAATGATTCATATCTAATTATATAATCTACACATGGATGTCTATTCTGAGTCTAATCTAAAAGGTCCGAGTCAAGGTAGATTTTGCAAAGTGAATCAGTTACAAAAGCACATAAATCCAGTTTTAAGTTTAGATGAGAAAACACCCACAAATGTAAATCAGTTTTACCAAAGAACAGTGAGCTGATTGTTCCAGACCTAATCACAACAGCATGACAACATACAAAAACTATACCTGAATGAAGAAGTCCATCCGTCTGTATTATTATGGTTGATCATAGTTACGTCTTCAAAATTAGCCCCAGTCAGTAAGCCAACATTGTCATCAATACTGTGAAGAGATTGAAACCTCGAAGATCAGTAAGAGTGAGCCACCAAACTGATTATCAAAGTAACAAATTCCTATGACCACTTCCAGAGCGATATGCAAGTTATTTTTGACAAAAATAAGATTTGATCATATAACATAATCTATATATACTAAAAAAGAATTGGTAACTCAAATACTTTATGACTAGAGTGGAAGGGTTGACTAGTAACTAGTAACTATATGTTCTGAACAATTAATTAGTACCTCCATTAAAATGGTGGTAAATAGAAAGAGAAAACCTACCTAGAACCCAGAGCAAATAAGCCGAAGTGCAATTAGAAGTTGAGCATCAACACATTTTTAGCTCATGTTGTGACGATCACTAATATGAATTTTCTTTTCTTTTCTTTTTTTTGGTTTTCAGTAAAGTTTAATAATAAATTGTGAACATCTCAACTTAAATTCGGAGTATACATACTTGAAATAGAAAAATATTTAAGCTGAAGCCCCTTCAAAAATTATACACCATCTTAAAAGTATCATCACCAGCTTTCTCTTGAGTGTTAAATTGTGATCTCAAAAGAAATGGTAGACTTAAAACCTAATGTAATACCCAAGACATGCATATAACAAATATATGAAGAGGGTAACTTTGTAATTTAAAAAAAAATTAGATTAATAACCTCATTAGGTTTTACAGTTATTCTCAAAAAATCCAAAGAAGGGGATCTCTTGAGGGTTCCAACAAAAGAGGTTGAAGAATCAATTCTTGGTACTAGGTCAATCTATTTATTCTTTAAGCTAAGAACTCTAGTACAACCTCTCCTTTCTATTATTTATTGTATTTCAATTTGGGGCTAAATTACTTTAGGGTTTGGCTAGAACGCACAGGTTATGTATGATGTTTGGGTAGTTTTTGGCGATTAACCCGTGAGAAGTGCCTGAGGTAGCAGAGCATGGCAACATTTGTACCTTGCTTGGGTCAGTGCAAGAAGCAAGGAGCCAAGGTGTGTTGTGTGGGATTCATATCACTTGCATGTATATATTGTTGGGGATCGGGGATCCCACCCAAGACCTTTCATAAATTATACCAAGCAAAAAAACACACACACTGAATGAGACACCATATTTAACGTGGTTCGGCCTCAATGCCTATGTCCACGAGAGAGTAACCGGTTATCACTATAACAATGGAGAAATTACAGAAAGATTACAGTAGAGGAGGAGTTCACACTATCCTCACTCACCCACTCACCCGTCTCCCTCTCTCACACCGAGAGAGACGGTCTTTCTAGCTCACATCTCTTACTCTCTCTTGGTTTGCTCTCTCATTCTTAAGCTCTCTCTTCCTCTATTTATACACAAATGAGAGAGAACCTCATTGGTTGTCACCTACCTTCTTCCACTCTCTAGTGGGTTGGAGTTGGTGACCCACCTATGGCTGGTTGGATATCATAGAAACCATAGTTGAAAAAAAAAGAGAAAAAAGAAAAAGGAACTTATGAACGAAATTGCTTAACCAAACTGGTGAGTTTATGGGCATTAATATTAATCAACAAAGGGGATTGGATTATTATAAGTGGGTATGGGTTAAGGACATTTGCAAGACCTGAAGTAGATAGAATAGATGACAGTTGTAGACAATGAACAATCCTAGACTTAGATTATAGCATGAACACACATTAGGTAATGTTTTCTTTGATAATTATTGAGGAAATTATATATCAGTGTAAATTTAAAAAAATAATTACAGATTAGTAGTCAAGTTTATGAATATTAATAATTAAAATTATAGATTTTTAATGTATTTATAATTTTTTTTAATAAATACACTGGAGTGTAATCCTTCCATAATTATTTATGTGGTGTTATATTTATCAGGACTATGAGATTGAAGCGGATCGTGGTATTTTGAAGTTAGTTTTGGGATTCTTTTAGCACTTGAGGTAAGTGATACCACTGTTAATGTTTCAGCCTCAATGTTCTACCTGAAAAGTACTTCTTTGTGTTTTGCATGTGTATTGTTAAAATATGGATCAAGTATGAAATAATTTTGAGTGATATTATTTAATTATTGTGATTACTTGTATCAAAATATTTATGTCAAGGATATCAAAATGTTTTGTACTTCAAAGTAAGCAAGTTCATGTACAAAATTTAGCACTTGAGTCTTGTCTCGCTATGATCTGGACTCTAGACAATGAGGGTTAAAAGTTGGCAAACTAGTTTCTTCTGAAACTTTACCACAGGCCTATGTGTGGTTTTGGGCTTTGTTATCGGCTAATATGGCTGTGGTTGCTAAGACTTGAGTTCTGATGATTGAATTATCATACCATTGGACATCGAACCATTGCTTTCAACAAATAAATTTGACTCTATAATTGGATTATTTTATTGTCTTCTTTAATAAGATATATTGTTACGCTGTTCATTCAGCCATTGATCTACCTCGCAAGTAAATCATTTCATTCATCAAAAAAACATATTTCTTCCTTTTTGATTATTTTCTGCTACTTGATCTCCAACTAGCAGTGGTAGTTGGTGACTTACTCAGCTGTCGAGCTTATCCCATCAATGAATTTGTTTGTTGATTTGGAATGAAAGCCAATACAATTTCAGATAATTAGATTAATCATTGATTACCGAATTTTTGGTGTTATTTTGTATTATTTAATATTTGGAGACAATTGCAACTTGTAATTTTAAAAGACATAATTTATTAGATGCTTAAGCTTTATATACATATATATAAATTGATCGGAGAAGCAATTAAATATTATTTTCACTTCACAATGTTGCAATGATCCGGATCGTTACACCTAATCACTATAGTCAACATCCCACAGAAACAAAATATAGAATATATTGCTCAGTCTCACATCATTTCTATCAAGATACTTACTGAGAGTCACAAACAACATAACCAGTCCAAAAAACGTTACATAACTTGTTGTGGCTAGATAGCTTCCAGATGGTGAAAAGTAAGCAGAATGCACAGCCCTTTTATGGTTAAGCGTCTTCAAACATTTCGGCTTATCTGCATCAATATTTCTCAAATCCCAAATGCAAGCAGTTCCATCTGTGGAGCTCGTTGCCATCATGTCAGTGTTTTCTGAATTGAAATCTATAGTGCTGATTCTATCTTCATGCAAAATCCACGAAGCTGAAGATTTTCCTGCCCTCTCATCCCAAATATTGAGAACTCCATGACCCTCGCTAAAATACAAGGACTTTGCATCATTTGTTCGTTGAGAAATAGAAAATATAGCATGATCGCTGGAATAAACCAGATCAAATATTTCTTTCTCGACATCCATCAATCGGATAAATCCATCATAGCAGCTAGTATAAACCTACATACACATTGATAGACAAACAGAGGAATGCACAAGCCAAATTGAGTCATGTGACTACCAACAAATGGGATACAAGAATTGGTTGTTTCAAGGAACCAGTTTTCAATATCACAAGAAATAAATACAGAAATAGAATTTATAATTTCATTCATATCAAAATCAAAATCTCAATTCAACTATTATCATCCATAACTTCCATCCTCTAATCATTCTTAAAATTCCAAGAACTAAAGGTAATTTTAGTCACAATAGCACTACTCATCAAGATCAAAATTAGGGTTCCAATAATTTTGGGACTTTTACTTTATTTTCACACATGCATAAATTTTCAACATCAATAATCATATTCTATGAAAGATTGAGGAAAACTCCAACAATAATCAAATAAAATTTTTCCTTTTTGTCAAATACAAGTTTTACCTCACTCAATCTTTAAATCAAGTCTTATATTTGCAATCACACCACGTAAACATCTTCAAATCAAAGAGTTACTAAGTTGAAAGTAACCCTACCTCAATAAAAGAGCAAGAAAGCAAGGCTTCTAGAAGAATCCTTCACAAAACCAAGATCCAATCAGTAAAAGAACAAGATCTTTACATGTACTTCACTCCTTACAAGTGATTTAGGCTAGATCTTAGAGAAATGAGAGAGATTTGGGGTAAGAAACTTGGGGTTTTCGGAAAGAGGGAGAGGAGAAAGAAGATAGAAAGAAAAAGGTGAAGAAATGTGCTAGAGGGTGCCTCTTTAAATTGTTGATTTCGTGCAGAGAGGTTTTTCATCGCTCAAGCAGTGAACGAGGATAATTGCACATACACATGCTATATTACTTCTTCATAGGGCAAAAAACATATACTTTAATGCTGTGTTTGGTTGAGGGATTTGGGGAGGGATTTGGAAAGGGAAAGGGAAAAGGTATGTGAAATTATGTGAAATATAGGCATGATTTATTCACATTTCACAAACCTTTTCCATTTCCCTTTCCAAATCTCTTTCCAAATCCCCCAACCAAACACAGCATAAATAAATTGCAAAAGTAATACCTTTGAAATGGAAAATGGTTGAATTACAATCCCCGAAACCAGCCGTGGATGAGGGCGGTACAGATAAATCCCATCTCCATCCTCATTCTCAACATCAAAATCCCAAAATCCAACATTCCCAAAATTGTTTCCCACGGCAATCAATTTCACATCCGTAGACGGAAAGAACCTCAACACTAGTATTCTCCCTGGTACAACCCTAGCTATGTTTTCTGGTTCCAACCCCATTGATTCCAAATCAACACAACCCCGAACCCGAATTGGGTAGCCAAAATTGACATTTTCATTCACACGAGCCATCGAATTGCAGGAACCCCCTTCAATTTCCTCCCTCGAGTCATGACCGCAACACAATTGGGGTTTTTTAAAAACACCCATGATTTTTTCAGTGAATTTTTGTTGGTGAGAGGCGTAACCGCAATACGCATCACCGATGGTAATAGGACCTGAGGACTCATATTTAGGGTTTGATTTGGGGGTCTTAGTTAGGGTTTCATCAAAATCGTGCATATTGGTGGCATCAGGTGGCATTCCTTTGGTCCGTAGCGAACGCCGAATGAAAATTGGGGTTTCGATTTTCGATTTCTTCTCCGGGACATTTTTGTAAGACTTGATTTGAGCTTGTTAGAATATAATATGTAAAGTGTTTAATAATTATGTTTTCTTCTTTCGGCTCTTTTGGCCCCTTTGTAACACTCTCCCCTCTATAAAAGAGAGAGTTCATTACTCTTTGTAATTAATACAAACAAATCAATAATACATCATTTATAACATGGTATTTATAACAGAGCTCTAGAGAGAGAAATAGAGAGAGAGTTTAGTAGATCTTTAACATTATATATATATACATATATATGTATAGGCATTTAAAAAATGTAAGATAGAGAGAGACCTTTGGCGCTTAGTTGAAGCAGAGAGGTCGTTAATTTTGGAATGGATCTTAAGAGAATCGAACATTTCATCGTTGCGCTTGATGTTCTCAAGCCTTCGAAGCTCGTACTCTGTAAGTTTCTTCTGATGCGCCATTGGAGAGAGAGAGAGAAGAGTGGCGCTTGATTTGTGTGAAGTTCGCACCCCGTATATATATATATATATTACGCGGGAATTAAAACTGGCGGGAACCCAATAACATTAATAAAAACAAAAAATAAAAAACAAAAAACAAAAAAAAGAAAAGAAAAAGAAAAAGAAAAAAACCCTTCAAAGAGTGTGCATAATTAAAAAAATGAAATTATTCTAATTTTTTGTATTATAACTAAAGTAATATCATACATAAAGAAGAAAATTTGTCATAATTAAAAGAAAAAATAGCGTAACTAAATATTCATATATTACACCCTTTTTTAAAGGATGCATAACTAAAGATTCATATGGTACACTTCTAACCAAAAACTCACTTCTACAAAAGCGAACCCCCTCTAATTTTATTTTTTTTGGTACAATTCTATCCTTAAATAAAATTATCATAATGGATAAATTTAAAGGAAAATTTACCCATAAGTCTTAGTTTTTGAAACGTTGAACCATTTAGTCCTAAAAGTTTTCTTATGCTCAATTTAGTCCCATTTTTACATCAACATGATGTGAATGATGTAAATGATCTGATGTTTCATTCTATAATTTAAAAATTTATTGAAATCTGATGAACATTAGATGTTTTTCATCCTATATTTTCAAACATTATTGAAATTTGATGAACATTAGATGTTTGAAATCCAATGTTTGTAACATGACTCTGATGTTATTAACATTGTATCTGATGTTATTAACATTGTAATGGGACCTTTCAGTTTATAAAAAAACTTTTAGGACTAAACAGTGCATAAGTTATTAATTTGAGATTTATTGGTGCATCCCCCAAATTTAAAATTCATTTCACAATCAACATCCATCATTTTTCAACTGTAGACATAGAAAATTCAAAATCCAAAATATCCCTAGTACAACATGGCTATAACTATTGGAACAATCTTTTGTGTAAATAAAATATATTGAAACTAAATCAAACAAAATAAAATAAAAACTTACAGAATTTATTTTGTCGAACCAAATGAAAAATAAAAGACCAAGTCGAGTGTGTGGCACTCTGTCCTTAAGACAGATTCGCCCTGCTATGGTGTTTACGGTTATGTGACGTCTATCTCCCAAGATACAATGATCTTCACAGATTTGTAGTAGCACTCAAAACAAATTTGGCCGGCAAACTAGAACCTTGTGTTCTAATACTCTCTTTAATTTTCTCTAAAACTAGAATGTAGATTATAAATGCAAATGAGAGAAATAGGACAGCAAACATATAACTTACAGACTGATTTTCGGATGCTTTAACACTGCTAGAATGTTGGTATTTATAGGCACAACAAATTTGTCCAACATGTGCTGTGAGGAACCGAACAGGTATGTACTTGTTTGAACAGGTATACTTCAAAATTCAAACAGATCTACAACCTGTTTGAACAGATTTAACTGCTGGACAGTTACACCCGGAACTACTGAGCAGTTTCTAGAAGTTAAATAACTGAAAAACAGTTTTAATCTGTTGAGGAATTTTGGATTGAAAGAGATAAATTTAGACAGAAAATTAATTCAATTTTTGGCACAAAATTTGAATTTAATTTTATTTAAAATTTAAATAAATTTTGTCCAAAAAATTAATATAAGAACCGACCCAACCCACATCCTACACCCGCGCCCTGCACGACTCGACTGGTCGGACGCACGGACGGACGCACGGACGGCGGTGGTGCGTGCGCGTGTGTGGTGGTTTGGGCTATGGTTCACTTTATCCATAACTTCTCCCTTCTACAAACTTGGGGTGCCTCTTGGGGCTCAACAAGTGTTGTAGTCTAGAGGTTATATACACAAAAAAAAACTCTCTTAAAGTTTCAATGTGGGACAACTCATTAAAAGGAAACCCACATTTAAATCTTTAAATGTTCAATTCCACGAACTCGAAAACGACGTCAACTTCCCATTCACTCATAAATGGTTTTGACGTACCGTCTTCACCGTGTGACTTGCCACGCGGCAAATAACACTTCACCTCTTCGGACCCACCCCAAAAGACGTTCGGGACCCGCTCAATTTTGGGCTCAAAGTTGGCCCAAAATATGCCTATATTAAACCATTTTTCCAACAATCCCTGTAACAACCCTCATACCGATTACTGATTAATGACTGATTGATCACCAGTTACTGTTAAACGGAACTGATAATGACTGATAACTGACCGTGACCCTCTGGCGGTAGCAATCAATAAAACAACATGATCTAAATACAAAAAGTACAAAAATTGGAAATATTCTGCAAAGGATAGGTAGCTTTTGGCTTTGAACCTTCCCTTGTGAGACACTATCGGATTTACTAGCTAACCAGTGAACATGATGTCTTGAATTGTTCAGTCATTTGTGTAAACCAAGACAATAGAACTCACACAGTATATCCCCAGACACAGTTTAGTTCTCACTATTGTGTTCATTTTGGCCATGAACAACTTGGTCTTTCATGAGTGTTCTAGAGAATTGTAGCTCTTCACAAATCTCATAGAACCGGCCCAGTTCACACTCACATAGGTGATTCTTATGAAGAGTATCCTGCCATACTCCACTAGGTTTACCTAGATATAAGAATCATTAAAAGTATTACTTAACCTAAACCGCTGCAGACATCACTCTTTCATCATAGAAATAGGTAGGAGTTAAACTCCCCAGTGATCCTTTTGAGTCATTCACAACTCGGTTGTCCCTTTGAACCTAGATCTTGGGATATCCAGTCAACTAGGTTGGGTTGCCGTTGTGGTAACTCTTATTTAATAGGCTTTAGTCCGATTTCTCTCGATGAATTCTCAACTAACTCTCTTGCTAACCCTTTGGTTAGTGGATCCGCTATGTTGTCTTTAGACTTCACATATTCAATGGAAATAATTTTATTATAGAGTAGTTGTCTCACGGTATTATGTCGACGACGAATGTGTCGTGACTTACCATTATACATATGACTCTGTGCTCTACCTATTGCTGATTGACCATCACAATGTATGCATATAGCAGGCACCGATTTTGGCCATATTGAAATATCTTCAAGGAAGTGGCGAAGCCATTCTGCTTCTTCCCCAGCTTTGTCTAAAGTTATGAATTCAGATTCTATAGTAGACCTAGCAATGCAAGTCTGTTTGGAAGATTTTCAAGATACAGCCGCCCCACCAAGAGTGAAGACATACCCACTGGTGGACTTTGAGTCTCTAGTATCCGATATCTAATTTACATCACAGTATCCTTCAAGTACTGATATAATTAAGCCTAATGTTACGAGTAAATCGGAGATATCTAAGAACCCTTATAATTGCTTTCCAGTGTTCTACTCCTGGGTTACTCGTATATCTACTTAATTTACTTACTGCATAAGCTATATCCGGACGAGTGCAGTTCATCAAGTACATTAAGCTTCCAATAATCTGGGCATACTCTAATTGAGAAATACTTTCCTGTATATTTTTAGATAGAAACAAATTAACATCTACAGGTGTTCTAGCAAGATGATCATCATCTTTGCTGAATTTGTCAAGTATTTTCTCAATGTAATGAGATTGTGACATCCTTCTGATGTTTTGGTAATTTTCATACCAAGTATTACATCAGCAATGCCCATGTCCTTCATGTCAAAATGTTTATTCAACATTTTCTTGGTAGTTTTAATCATGTCATTATTACTACCAATGATGAGCATATCATCTACATAAAGACATACAATGACATAACCTTTATCTGTGTTTTTAATATAAACACATTTGTCACACTCATTAATTTTAAATCCATTTGACATCATTGCCTTGTCAAATTTCTCATGTCATTGCTTTGGCGCTTGTTTTAAACCATATAATGATTTAACCAATTTACACACTTTCTTTTCTTTTCCTGGAACAGAAAACCCTTATGGTTGTTCTATGTAAATTTCTTCATCTAACTCACCATTTAAGAAAGTATAGCGATCCTGGTTTTCCTTTTTGTATCTATTGTATCCCGGACTTTGGTTCCGTGGAGTTGGTAGTTATATCTATCTTGTTGTCGTTCTTTAAATCCATTTGTTTGAGTTTTAGGATGTGTTGGGCTTGGTTGTTACAGGTTGGTAGAGCTTTGGCTCCCATTGTTGTTGCCCAGTTTTTGAATGGTACACTCGAGCGGGTCATTTTACGCTCAAGCGGGGTTTACACCCTTTTAGCATTTCGTGTCCCTACAAAACTTCTGCAGATGTGTTTTCTATGCTCGAGCGGGTTTCTTGCGCTCGAGCGGGTTGCACTCGAGTGGGCTTGTTGGCGCTCGAGCGGGTAGTACCTTGTTGGTGAAAGTTCTAGGAGATGAAAATCTACGCTCGAGCAGACTGGTCTTTCGCGCTCAAGCGGGTGTGCTTTATCTTTGTGTCTTGGAGCTCGAGCGGGCATTCTTGCGCTCGAGCGGACCCAGTTTTCTGTTCTTGAGGCTCGAGCGTCCTGTTATCCGCTTGAGCGGGAATGTCGTATATCAGTTGGCAACTAGGCGTTTTAAAATCACTTTCTACAACTTCTCTTTCTCTCTTACTTTTCAAAAACGCCATTTAAGACATTCTCTCTCTAAAACCTCCACTTCTCTCTAAGTATTGATCTAGCTAGGGTAATCTCTCACCCTTTGGCCTTTGTAAGAAAGGTGTTGATCGTCGAGGGCTACACTTTGATCCAAAAATTTCGGGATTTGGAGCATCTTCATTTTTGTCGTCTCCTTCGTTGGGTTTCATCTTTTGAGGTAGGGATTCCTACTCACTCTTATGGGTTTTGACCTAGATATTGAGTTTGTTGTATAAATGGCTTTGGGTTTTGGAAACTAGGGTTTCAAACGTATACTTTTGAAAAGAGGGTTTTTGATTATTTTGGACCATAAATATGTATTTGGGTTTCAAAATGAGTATGTTGATGTTGTTGGTAATATATGGACTCTTGGAGTCAATATTGAGAATAAGGGGAATTATGCCATGTTTGGGTATATTTGGGTCATTAGTGTAATTAATGACGTTTGGTGAGAAATTGT